TTACTTTTATATAAAATAAGTATTTTATGTTTTAAGTGAATATGTTTGAATTTTTTAGCAAAAAGCCGTAACCAAAAGGTTAATCAAGGCGAAAACATAACCAAAAAGGTTAATCAACGCCGACACGTTTAACTTTTCATTAATGAAAAAAATCATTTCTCGGGAGTAAATAGTTCGCTGTCATTTGGTCACGGAGGCCCCTCATACCTTTTGATATAAATGCAAATATTGTGTCAAACAATAGCTGAAAGTAATGGCATATGATATACAATCATATCAAACATCAAACACATATCAGTTTCCGCCGCCTAATTCCCTTAAGTATGCAAGTCATAAGTGATTGCATTTGGAAACCCGTTGAACATTTCAAAACAAGGCAATGTCAAAATTAACCCAAGTTAACCATTTTTTTACGTCCCCGCGAGGGGTTTGACATTATCGGAAGATACCAGTAGATAACAATGTACATTAATTTTTAGAGCAACCTGATTAATAAAATCAGCTCCTAACTAACGATACGCTACAAGTTAACATAAGATTTGAACTTTTATCATGTTGAAATTAACTGTACATTGTAGTCTTTTAAATTTAAATGCATTGGCTGCGGTTGTATTAACAACCACATAAGCGAAACAAAGTAACCATGATTAAATGATATCATATTCGACATTCAAGTATAATCTTTCATAAGCATCAGCTTAATTGTTATGTCACTGGTTTACTGTATGAAAATTGTTTGGTCTTTGGGCCCCGGATCAGTGGGTTTGAGTGCTATATTTTCCTTGAAAACTTAAGTTGTTCAGATGTGTGTTGAGGAACATCAGTCATTGATAAAATAGAGAAAAAAAAGAACCCCTAAAGAAAGTTCAAAACGGCAAAGTTGAAAATGTTGCAGGTTCCGTTTAATAAAGCCCAAATTAACACTGTCCCGGTAATGGCCACGGTATCGCTACTGTGTCTTAAGCTGGTGAACCGAGGTGTTCCGTGATGTTTTTCTGAGAAATCAAATTGCGTTTACACATCCCCGACAGAGCCCAGGTGTATTCCCGGTTCAGAACCCGATATAGCACCGGATATATACGATAAGCGCCGATGCTAAATCGGTGTATTCCCGCTTGATTCCGGTGGTAACCCGACAAGACACGGTTTCATCACGGTCCATCCCGACCATCGCCGTTTTTGCCACGGTAATGCTATTGGTGATGCCGGTAATGTGCCGGTGACGCCCTTGTAATGCACCGATGCTTCCTGTTCAAGTTTATGAGAATAAAACTTTCTGACCACGTTGACATCAGTCATTTGGTAAAAAGTCAGCAGAGATGCCATCCGAAGGAAAGGGGATGGAAGTTAGAAAAAAAACTGTGTCGACAACACCTTCAGAGGTTGAGGTACCTGAAGCTGAAAATGCACCAGATGAAGAATTTTTCCTTCTCTCATTTAACAAATTGTCCACGCTCGTGTTCCTTCTCTAAACAAAATGATCCAAAGTAGCACTTCAAGTTTATATATTCCTGTATATCATCGTTGTATAACCGTACTTGTCTGCAATATCCGGGACATTACCGGCTCCAACCGGAGCGTTGTTGCCAGTGACCTCAATGTACCCTGGCTCTACCGTAGCTCTGCCTGTTTTACCGTGGCAACATCGTGTCATCACCGGGACTTTGCCGTTTGGACATTGATTGACACGCATCCCGGTTTACTACAATTTGTCACGGTATGGATGCAGTGTAGATACGGTGGTTTCCCGGGAATTCCCTGTTCCAAGCCGATAGAACACGGATTTGGGCTTCCTCTCGGTGAGTGCCGGTGAGCCCCGGTTGTATTAAACATTTGAAGACAACCGTGCTGATCTCTCAGTTTGTTCCAGTTCACCATGGTTTGTCCCTTTACTTCACGGAATTTCAACGACCCAACGCCGGTTTACCACGGTTGATCATGGTTGACTAAACCGGGACTGTGTAAATGGGGCTTAAACCGCCCTTGTATGACTGTATTACTATTAGTACTAGTAAGAAAAAAAGGTCTTCAAATCAATGAAATTACTTAAACCTAATTCTGATCGCGACAATATCATAATACTTTTAAGATGTTGTCAATCAGGGTTATAAATAAAAAAGGGAGACAAAAGAAAAATACTTATCTATTGAGACTTGAATTTCTTGTATCTTTCTAGAATACGCTTTCTAGCGTCAATATTACATTATATAGCAGCTCAAATCCTCGATATTTAGGTTCATAAAAGAAAACAATTAAAGCAAAGATACTTTTTGTTAAATGGCAATTACAGTAAAAATAGCTATGAGAGCGTTTTAAATTAAAATATTACTACTTTTAATCATGATTTTAACATGAATTTATATCTTGCGACATTTAACGGTAGTGTTGCGACATTTAACAGTAGCGGAAATTCGTGCGACATTTAACGTTAACATTGCGACATTTAACGGCAAATGATTTTGCGACATTTAGCGGCAGTTGCGACATTTAGCGGTATTGGTGCGACATTTAGCGGTAAGTGCGACATTTAGCGGCGTTGCAACATATAACGGCGCCACAATGACCAACTCCATGTGTGGAGTACGAAGTTATTCTATCGTTCTTTTTCTCAATAACGAATATAAAGCATATTGTTTAAACAAATGTATATTTTTATATATGTTTCTGAAAACAATATTTTATAATGTAATATTGACGTAAATTGTCCGGTAAATTGACTGCATCATTTTATGATATAATTATATAAATGTCTTGTGCATGTTGGAGCCTGACTGCAGTGTGCGGTTCACTGTATATGAGCCGCGTCACGACAAAACCAACATAATGGGTTTGCGACCAGCATGGATCCAGACCAGCCTTCGCATCCGCGCAGCCTGATCAGGATCCATGCTGATCGCTTACAAACCCTATAACAAGTAGAGAAACTGATAGCGAACAGCATGGATCCTGATCAGACTGCGCGGATGCGCAGGCTGGTCTGGATCCATGCTGGTCGCAAACCCATTATGATGGTTTTGTCGTGACGCAGCTCATATGCATATTTATATAAAAACAAAGTGACTAGAGCCATTGTCTTCCACTTCTAGCTCAAGTATTTATTAAATCACCCGTAATTTGTTTGAGCTCTTTGGCACATGTCAGGAATACATTGAACCCTCTGCACCTAAATATGAGGACTGTTAGAAAAGTATCCGGAAAGGTTTCATTTTTTCAGTTGTGAATCGTGTATCGAAAATGTGTGATGTTTAGATGCGTTGGACCGATTTTCCTGACCCGCTTAACGTAATCCTACGTTAATATAGATACTGTAGATAGTGCATTAATGCAAAGGTGATTTTTTTTCAGCCGGATCAAAAACATAATTCTCCAATGTTGAATATTTTATCTGGATATGTTTGTAAATGAAAAAGGTATGAAACCTTTCCGGATACTTTTCTAACAGCCCTCGTAGGTCGCATCTGGTCTGGTACCAGTTTGAGATCTAAGAAATACCAGAGTATAGAGTTTGTAATATGCCTTGTCAACGGTGCTATTATGTGTTTTTAACACACGACAATAATGTTATAATCACCGTGGCTTTAAGCTAAATGCTTTTTATCATATAAATACATCAGTATGATATTTAGAGGTCAACATTTGCATAAAAATGCAACGACTCTTTGGCCATTATATATAGGGTTACATTTGCATGACCTTTATTTGCCATTTTATACTTTAATAATATAATACAAAATACCAAAAATGTGATATATAAATTGCCGATACTGGTTAAAACATTCAAGTACATTGTATGTCAATCGGTATTTGGAAGTGTGTCAGAACCATAAACGACAGAATGGGTGGGTATAGAGTATAGTTGATGACAATTAATATTAATCTGCTGAAAAATAAAAAAAAATAATGTGGTATTTCTGCCTTCCAAAACTTTATAAGCCATTTTTTAAACATTTTTTTTCATCCAGAGTCTTACATTGCATCATGTGTTTCATCTAACGCGGCATTGAACCCGTCCAGTCACAGTATAAAAACGGGTACGCTGAAGACCTTCAGCTAATATGTGGTACAAGAGAACGTCATTAAATTACACAACATATAGCCTTGCGTTATACAAAAGTATAATTGTTTTGATAAATTATATAAAATCAGTTTCTCTACTTGTAATAGAGTTTGTAAGCGAACAGCATGGATCCTGATCAGACTGAGAGGATGCGCAGGCTGGTCTGGGTCCATGCTGGTCGCAAACGCACTATGTTGGTTTTGTCGTGACGCGGCTCATATTATCATTTACATGTAATGGAAAACGTCAAGAATAACAATATCAACTCAATAATTGTGGACAGATGACCCAATCTGATTGAGGATTTTCAGGCAATTGGTTTTTCTTCATTAAACTTATAAAGAAACTGTTTTGAACAAAACACGATAAAAAATACGATGTAAAAGACAGTCAAATGGCCAACATGTTTTTCACTAGACAGAAGGACATGCGTGTAAATATAATCATACATTTAAATAAAAAATAGGAGTTATAACCGGTATTTACCCATTTTATTTAGTATGCATCCGTACAGTAAAAAGGGAGATAAGCATAAGACTGGATTCTAGACTGAAAAAAAATCTGCAAGTTGTTAGATTTATTGTTCTTGCCAGCATAAGGTAAGATCAATATGTTAACAATATTATTAGTTTTAAGATATATATTTCTTACATGGTCTATATTTTACAGGTACATTTGATTTGTCTAATTTGATGTTTAAAAAGTTTTAAAACCTTGAGATGATGTTTATACGGCACTAATAAAACTGAGGGTCCTTTACAGAATGATGTTTAAAGTAATCTTTCTTGCCTCGTCACTAGGGAAAGACACGCAAATTTATTGCGCTTTAATAAACGCTAGCGTGTAGGGAAATGAATCATTTAATTTATATTTAAATACAAAGCTTCAAAATTTCACGCAAGACTTACAACTGAAAACTTGACTTACAACTTTTAGTCACGTGATCCGATTGCTTGGGCGATCAATAAACGCTCGATCACCGGAAAGAGTAGCGCAAACTATCTTCTGCTTATTTCGCTATTTGTTTCGTCTGTAGGGTAATATTTCGTATTGATAATCAATAAATCAAATCAATTAAGTGAGTTGTGATAGTATATACAAAGTAATCGGATGGTATCTCTGGGATATATTTCTTCATACTAAGGAGACTTTCATTTAGCAACAGCATCCTAAGACTTCCGGTGAGTCACGTGATAAAATGGCCGGTGGATTCGGAGCGGCATCATTGCCACTTATTTCTTCAATAGCCCTTTTGGCTGGGGCTGTACTGATTATACTAGGGTTCGCAGCACCCTATTGGGCCAACGACGGAGTAAATTATGTTGGACTTTGGAGATACGGGAAATGTATGAACCCCAACAGTAAAGATTGTTATGTCTACGAACAACCAAGTCTGAAAAACGTCCCAGGTAAGTAAAGTATATTAACATTTACACTGGGATAACCATGCTAAATTTAACGGTTTTGAATGAATAAAAGATTAATATGTTATTGTTAATTTAACTTAAACAAATTATGTATTAAGCAAACATAAGTGCATAATAAGTAATAAGATTATTTATTGAAGAAATAACGTGAATGTCATTCGCGCAAGAAGAGCCTTATATTGCTGAATAGCTAAAGTAAAAATTAATAAAATGTAGAAATACATAACACCCTTCAAAGTTTTTAAGGGTTTTTAATTTTAACATTCATTGTGCCTTAGTTTTAATGTTGTTTTTAGATAGATGGGAATGTGTACATGTATAAACTTTCATTGTATTACATTTAAGTAACGTATTTGACGATATTTAATGATAGGTTTTTCCTTTCATGGACTGAATTTTTAAAAGCTAAATTACCATAAACGAATGCTTATCGAATAGAATATTAGTGTAGAATGGTAGAATGGTAAGTGTCTAAAATAAGTGAAACATCCAGACTTTTTTCCGTTGCAAATGAAATGCGTTCATTTTCCCTCTTACTTGTTGATATGTCATAAGTGACAGTTTTACTACTTAAATAATTGTGCAGTTTAACTTAAAATGTCATGCAAAACATATTCATTTTTGTATATATGAAACATGTAAAATGTTTCTCTAACAGGTAAAGTAACCAGTGTGTAAATTTTATAAAATATTCACCTTCACTGATTCTCATTAAATATCCGCCCCGTCGTACATTTTATGAATGATTAAGTTCTAAAGTAAAGTGAAATTGCGACTGCCTATTCGAGTGAGGAAAAAGATCACCCACACAAACAAATTTGAACGTGACTTCTGCACACACGCAGACGACACTCGATCTGCTAATGTCAATAACGTGTGGATGTATTACATCATTGAATCAATTGATTTTAAATCAATACATTTTCTTCTCAAAATTATGTCGGCGTTTGCTAAAGGAGTGTACGGGTTTGTTTGCCTCGAGCCGACACATTTTGGGTTCGGCTTCAGCAAGTTACCCTCGCCTTGTACAGTTTTTGTTTCTCTCTCATTTATTTGCCATCAACGTATCTACTAGACATTCCTTAATTGCACACAGAAATTTTGTAAATGGACTTGTCCAGCTTCCATGCTGGAACTGTTCATTATCAATTTTAGCCAAAAGTATGATGGTCTTGTCAGATTTCACTCATGTGCAGACAGGCCAGGCCCCCCTCCCCCCTCTTAATGGCAAGGTTACTAACTTGCGGTACACGTTTTCAGTACCAAAAGGTTAAGGATATAGTGCAAAAATGCCGTTTTTTAATGTTATATATTTGATATTAAGTTAAAACACCATAAACGTATATTTTATCCTTCGGCTGACAGTGATTCTAATCTAATTTTTAATACGTATACAACACTGTCTGTATCAAAACTTATACAAGCCTGATATTAATGAAACAAATACTTGAATTATTCAATCTACCGGAAAAAATGTTTACTTTTCATTAAATTTTACAAATAATCGAAGCATAATTATAATAACGTAAGTCAATATAGGCTGATAGATAGACTAAATGTCGTATAAATCTTAAAAGCCAATGCTGATAACAATCGACCGTTTATTCGCCACTAATGATATAAATTTTGTATCCCTCGGACAAATGGTAAATGTACCGGTTGTCACCATCCTTAAGTTACGTTACAAGCCAAAAATGAAATTGAAGACGGTTAGAGGACGGGACGCAAATTGACAGGTATTATTGAAGCCATAATAGCCCCGTGCAAAGATATCGGCGGGGAGCACCTGTAACTGAGAAAAACACTGCCGCGAGAATTGATTTTTTTACAAAATAACAATGGTTCGGATTTCAAGGTTTTAGACACCTTCCTTTTATGTAGAATAACTTGGCTCTATAATTAGATTTCTTTCGAATATGCATAACATGTTCATATGTTATGACTTCAATGATAAACAAGAAATTAATATTTTCCGCATTTAAGATGCGTTAATTTCACAAATCTATGTTGGTAAGGTACACTAAATCCATGTGTAATACAAATTGTTATGCTTTATAAAACATGGATTAAATTTTTTTAAGGTTATTTTTCCTGATTTTTAAGAAACATTTACCTCATGCTTTTCAATAATAATAATAATAATAATAATGATCTAAGTATCTAAGAATGTGACACATATCTAAGTGCTATGTACCTAAGAATGTGACAAATATCTATGTATCTAAGAATGTGACTCTTATCTTAATGTTATGTATCTAAGAATGTGACACTTATCTTAATGTTATGTATCTAAGAATGTGACACATATCTATTTATCTAAGAATGTGACACTTATCTAAGTGCTATGTATCTAAGAATGTGACACTTATCTAAGTGCTATGTATCTAAGAATGTGACACTTATCTAAGTGATATGTATCTAAGAATGTGACACTTATCTAAGTGCTATGTATCTAAGAATGTGACACATATCTATGTATCTAAGAATGTGACACTTATCTAAATGCTATGTATCTAAGAATGTGACACATATCTATTTATCTAAGAATGTGACACTTATCTAAGTGCTATGTATCTAAGAATGTGACACATATCTATTTATCTAAGAATGTGACACTTATCTAAGTGCTATGTATCTAAGAATGTGACACATATCTATTTATCTAAGAATGTGACACTTATCTAAGTGCTATGTATCTAAGAATGTGACACATATCTATGTATCTAAGAATGTGACACATATCTATTTATCTAAGAATGTGACACTTATCTAAGTGCTATTTATCTAAGAATGTGACACATATCTATGTATCTAAGAATGTGACACATATCTATGTATCTAAGAATGTGACACTTATCTAAGTGCTATGTATCTAAGAATGATACACATATCTAAGTGATATGTATCTAAGAATGTGACACTTATCTAAGTGCTATGTATCTAAGAATGTGACACATATCTAAGTGCTATGTATCTAAGAATGTGACACATATCTAAATATTATGTATCTAAGAATGTGACACATATCTATGTATCTAAGAATGTGACATTTATCTTAATGCTATGTACCTAACAATGTGAACCTTATCTAAGTGCTATGTATCTAAGAATGTGACACATATCTAAGTACTATGTATCTAAGAATGTGACACTTATCTAAATGTTATGTATCTAAGAATGTGACACATATCTAAGTACTATGTATCTAAAAATGTGACACATATTTATGTACCTAAGAATGTGACACTTATCTATGTGCTATGTATATAAGAATGTGACACTTATCTAAGTGCTATGTACCTAAAAATGTGACACATATTTATGTACCTAAGAATGTGACTCTTATCTAAATGCTATGTATCTAAGAATGTGACACCTATTTAAATGCTATGTATCTAAGAATGTGACACATATCTATGTGCTATGTATATAAGAATGTGACACTTATTTATGTGCTATGTATATAAGAATGTGACACTTATCTAAGTGCTATGTACCTAAGAATGTGACTCTTATCTAAATGTTATGTATCTAAGAATGTGACACTTATCTAAATGCTATGTATCTAAGAGTGTGACACATATCTATGTATCTAAGAATGTGACACATATTTAAGTGCTATGTACCTAAGAATGTGACACTTTATCTAAGTGCTATGAACCTAAGAATGTGACACTTATCTAAGTGCTTTGAACCTAAGAATGTGACACTTATCTAAATGCTATGTACCTAAGAATGTGACTCTTATCTAAATGCTATGTATCTAAGAATGTGACACTTATCTAAGTGCTATGTATCTAAGAATGTGACACATATCTTAGTGCTATGTATCTAAGAATGTGACACATATCTATTTATCTAAGAATGTGACACTTATCTTAGTGCTATGTATCTAAGAATGTGACACTTATCTAAGTGCTATGTACCTAAGAATGTGACTCTTATCTAAATGTTATGTATCTAAGAATGTGACACATATCTATGTATCTAAGAATGTTACACATATCTAAGTGCTATGTATCTAAGAATGTGACTCTTATCTAAATGTTATGTATCTAAGAATGTGACACATATCTATGTATCTAAGAATGTTACACATATCTAAGTGCTATGTATCTAAGAATGTGACACTTATCTAAGTGATATGTATCTAAGAATGTGACACATGTCTATGTATCTAAGAATGTGACACATATCTAAGTGCTATGTATCTAAGAATGTGACACTTATCTAAGTGCTATGTACCTAAGAATGTGACATATATCTATGTACTCTGTATCTAAGAATGTGACACTTATCTAAGTGCTATGTATCTAAGAGTGTGACACATATCTATGTATCTAAGAATGTGACACATATCTAAGTACTATGTATCTAAGAATGTGACTCTTATCTAAATGTTATGTATCTAAGAATGTGACACATATCTATGTATCTAAGAATGTTACACATATCTAAGTGCTATGTATCTAAGAATGTGACACTTATCTAAGTGATATGTATCTAAGAATGTGACACATGTCTATGTATCTAAGAATGTGACACATATCTAAGTGCTATGTATCTAAGAATGTGACACTTATCTAAGTGCTATGTACCTAAGAATGTGACATATATCTATGTACTCTGTATCTAAGAATGTGACACTTATCTAAGTGCTATGTATCTAAGAGTGTGACACATATCTATGTATCTAAGAATGTGACACTTATCTAAGTGCTATGTATCTAAGAATATGACACATATCTAAGTACTATGTATCTAAGAATGTGACACTTATCTAAGTACTATGTATCTAAGAATGTGACACTTATCTAAGTGCTATGTACCTAAGAATGTGACACATATCTATGTACTCTGTATCTAAGAATATGACACTTATTTAAGTGATATGTATTCTAAAGCAATGCCACATACGCAAGCATCTTATATTTAAAACTGCGTCACATATCTAAGTGCTATGTATATAAGACTATGTCATATACGCAAACGTCTTGTATTTAAGACTGTGTCACATAACTAATTGTCTTGTTTATTAGAATGTGCCACATAATTATTTTTTTGTTTCTTAGACCATGTCACATAACTGTCTTGTTTCTTAGACTGTGTCCCATAACTAATTGTCTTGTTTCTTAGACTGTGTCACATAACTAATTGTCTTGTTTCTTAGACTGTGTCCCATAACTAATTGTGTTGTTTCTTAGACTGTGTCACATAACTAATTGTCTTGTATTTTAGACTGTGTCCCATAACTAAGTGTCTTGTTTCTTAGACTGTGTCACATAACTAATTGTCTTGTTTCTTAGACTGTGTCAAATAATTAAATTTCTTGTTTCACATAACTATGTGTCTTGTTTCTGAGACTTTGTTAAATATTTAAGTTTATATTATCCGTGTCACATATCTTAGTGAATTTAAACACAGCGGTGGACCGCAGGAAAAGCAGTTTTATAATACTAATACTATAGTGGATATAAAATTTTATAGGTAAACAAATTTGATACTTCATCAACTTTTGATAGATTAGATCTTTATAGGACTGCTGTCTCCAACCGTGCCATATTTCACTTCTTTATCAACTTATACATGTGTATATATCAATTTTCGGTATACGCAAACGAACGAACGGGCGGACGGACTATTTCCAAATCAATATCATTTCAGCAGAATATAAACAGAAATACTTGTAGACATTTTGTTACTTACCCATACCATTTTTCATGATGTTTCAATGCCCAAAGGATCGTGACTCCGGAAATAAATAGTCCTTTCTGAATGGTACGGAAGGGGGTTTAGCCCATAGATGATCAAATCACCGTCATTTTAACACAATGTTGGTATTTTTAGAATAAGGGACGTTTAATAACGTCAATCTAACACGCTAAAATTGTTACAACATCTAATCAACTAGATTTCAATATAAATTGAAAAGGAAAATTTCATTATGCATACAATTTGCATAATTTTTGCCACTTTATTGGCCCAAATACGTTCCTATCGTATTTTGAACAAAACATTACAACATTACAATCTCAACTATTTAGTGGCAGCAAAAACCAGTTCTTTAATACAGATACATTTGAGCCGTGTCACGACAAAACCAACATAATGGGTTTGCGACCAGCATGGATCCAGACCAGCCTGCGCATCCGTGCAGTCTGATCAGGATCCATGCTGTTCGCTATCAGTTTCTCTACTTGTTATAGGGTTTGTAGGCGAACAGCATGGATCCTGATCAGACTGCGCGGATGCGCAGGCTGGTCTGGATCCATGCTGGTCGCAAACGCATTACGTATGTTTTGTCATGACACGGCTCATTTTTAAAAAGCTTTTGTAGCGTTCTGGTGTATCGTTCAGGGTATAAAGCTATATCTAATGAATCTTTATTAATTTTTTTAAACGAGAAAATTAAGTTGTTTCATCTTACTATAGGATCGATTCAGGAAAGAGTTGTTACATAGAATGAATACACATGCATATTGTACTTAAACAGAATAAACATGTTCCGGAACACAATACTATGCTGCAAATATAACCGTTTAGCAAAAATTTTGAACCTTAAAGAAATATACAAACGCATACAAGTATTTTTGTGAATTATTCCTAACAATGATTTTGTAAACTACAGACAGCAGATCTATATACATGCATATCTTTATATACATGTAAACTATATTTCAATTAGCTGCTGGCAGCTTAAATGTAGTCAAAGGTGTGAGTCTCCATACTTTATCAGACTAATTGAGGATCGAACCGAGATTTAAATGTCGACGTCCTTCAAGTGAAACCAGCCACTTATAACATCTTCTGTTACAATTTTGATACATCTTCGACTAAATTTTTGAGCACATAGAATAGCTTATGATTAAAAACCTACGTTTATATGATATGTGAGGTCAGCTGTGAACAGTGAGCATTACAATTTATATAGGGAAATCAATGTTCTACTGGCTAAGCAATCAAGCGGGGCATTCATAAATTTATATACAAATGTAGTGTAAAAATGCTTTGCTGGAATACTCAGCTGGCTAAGCAATCTAACGGGACATTCACAAAAGTTTGTATGAAGCAAAGCAAACATACATGTATATATAGTCTATAGTTATATTCATGTTTTTTTTTTACATCAGCACGTTTCAATGTGAATGGTGATTTAAAAACAATAAGTGTCTAAAATAAAGTAATAATATTGAAGTATAGCTCTACAAGCATCTCTCAAATTAAACCTGCGATTGATAACATCTTTGTTACAATTTTTATACAGCTAGAACTTTAAAACAGTAAACTAGATTTCAACATACATCCAATATTCCAATATGCATACCATTTACATAATGTTTGCCTATTTATTGGATTGAAAAATACTTTAATGTCGTGTTTAGGTTTAATTAAATTAAGTCATTTCTGTACTAAAAAGTTTCATATATCGTGACATTTTTTTTTCAAAACGACCTAAATTTGTCAGTAAATTGGTAGAAAAATGATGATACCTTACCTAAATAAAAATTAGTATGCATGTACTTCAGGCTGCTTGATTATTTCATGTATTATTGTAAATTTGATAGTTTGAAAAAAAAAATCACTTCTCTAGAGTCGTGCAGCTTTCAGCAATACCATTTTGAATTTCGATGTGGTTTGTGTCTGTTCAAAAATTGAAATATCTAATATTAAACCTGTGCATTCCTTATTTCAGTATGGTTACACGTTACTCGAGGACTGGAATGCTGTGCAGTGATCTTTGTGTCCCTACCCCTAGTCATACTTCCGGTATACATGTATGTAGCTCTGGGGATGTACTACCGTTGCATGATGGGAACTATGTGTGGAATGTGCCTTCTCTCTGGTAAGAATCGGATGTTTATTTTACGTGTTTTAAATAAATGTTTTATCTTAATATGCACATGCATAACGAACGTAATACAAGCGCATGTACATGTACAGTCGGCGTCCGTTACTGAATAATTAATTCTGATTTCAGATTTGCAAGACAAATTTATTTTATATAGTCAATCAATATTCAAATTGTAAAATGGTAAATCTGTCGTCTGCTTCAAACATCAACATTTCAATTAAGACCATAATATGACTTGATATATACGGTACAACCTTTGCAGAGCAAAACTCTTTTGGAGGCAAAGAGTTTGGTCGTTATCGAGAGATGTTTATTTCAGTTTGGGAAGATATAATTCTGTTGTTGTACAGTAAGGGTTTATTGTTCTAGAGGGTCGCTATGCATACATTGTACGTTACACTTTGGAAAAAAAAATCTTTAAAAAAAATCTTTAAAAAAAAAAAAAAAGTCGAAAGACTTTTTAAGTAACGTCTGTGAATATATATTATGTATCAGGCGAAAGAGTTAGAAGCTTAGTAAATATGGCTTATTTTAATAATATTTATAAACAAAACAAAAATCACCCTGGCGTGTCAAGATTTTTCTCAAAAGATTACCCCGTTACTGTATTCGTCCATGTGGAAAATCAAGCGGCGGTTTGCTAAACATTTAGGGAGTCCAATGAAATCTTCCGTAAAATATACCGTTTGGCTTACACTTAGGTAATAAAGACGTTCGTCACAGAGTTAATTGCATGCTTACATGAAATATTTTTTATCTGTAAAACACTTTTAAGAAAGATAAATATACATTCATATCTCAAAATCAGTGTAAAAATGAGTAGGGACATTCTTTTCACATATTAAATCCGCGGGTGTATACCGACATTCCGTTCATCTTTTCTGATCTGTATCGTGTTTTAGGTAAATGTATCAGTAGATGTATTGCATCCAGAATTGATTCTATACTCACGTAAACATCAAAGATACATTTTTAGCTCGACTATTCGAAGAATATGAGAGCTATTGTAGTCGCCCCGGCGTCGGCGTCGGCGTCAGCGTCCGCGTCGGCGTCTGCGTTGGTTAAAGTTTTTTGTAAAGTCAAATATCTCAATTATTACTTGAGATATTCAATTGAAACTTACAATACTTATTTATAGTAACAAGGCACATCAGATTGACAAGTTGGATAACTCTGCCTACAATATTGACAGAATTATGCCCCTTTTTAACTTAGAAATTTTGGTTAAAGTTTTTTGTAAAGTCAAATATCTCAATTATTGCTTGAGATATTAAATTGAAACTTACAATACTTATTTATAGTAACAAGGTGCATCAGATTGACAAGTTGGATAACTCTGCCTACAATATTAACAGAATTATGCCCCTTTGGAACTTAGAAATTTTGGTTAAAGTTTTTTTGTAAAGTCAAATATCTCAATTATTGCTTGAGATATTCAATTGAAATTTAAAATACTTTTTTATAGTAACAATGTACATCCGTTTGCAAAATTGCATAACTCTGCCTGCAATATTTGCAGAATTATTCGCCCCTTTGAAGCTTAGAAATTTTGGTTAAAGATTAAAGGTCTTCAAAGATATTTACTTGAAACTTTACACATGCACTTAGGGTCATAATTGGAGGGTCATAATTGTATGTCACTGACCAAGTTCCATAACTCTATCTTGCATTAAGGCTGATTCATATCCCCTTTTCTACTTAGTCTCTGGTTAATGTTTACATGCAAGTTTTACATATCTCAATAACTATTAAAGATATTTATTAAAAACTTCACATATGCATTTAGGGTCATAATTGTAGGTCACTGACAAAGATCCATAATTCTATCTTGCATTTAGGCTGATTTTTCTCCCCTTTTTCAACTTAGAAAATCATGGTTAAGTTTTTCTTGTAAGTTGTTATCTCAATAACTACTGAAGGGTTTGTGCCTTTTCAGGAAAATTTTATGCATTCATAATAATAAAGCAGTGATTTACTTGATAAAACATCTTAATAACAAGCCTTTGTACCTTTTCTGTCAAATTTATTTATTCATAGGTAATTAGTATTATTATACTCAATAAAACACCCTTGTGACATTACCTTCCGAATAGTCAAGCCAATACTGTATAATTAGACTCTCTCTTAGGCCTATAACATGAATTTATAAAAAAAAATTAGCCCTTTTGTGAACTTAAAAAATTAAACAATATAAAGGCTCTTTTACTATCAAGCACTTAGAATAGTCGAGCGTGCTGTCCTACAGACAGCTTTTGTTGTAGTTTTGATTTCTGACATCATCGAAAAATGTAGATACACCAGTATCTGGAAATAATATCACCGGATGGTCAGGAATGGAAGAAACCAGCCATACCATATATCTATCAAGTTAATGAATTATTTATTTAAATCAACCAAGCAGTTGGAGACTGTGGTATAAAGAAAAGGGAGCGACACTGATTTTATTGTGGCCCTTTTGACAATATTTCTGTCTTTTTTTCAGCTGCCACAGGAATTGCAGGAGTAATTATCTATGGAATAAATGTAAATAGGAATGATTGGGAGGTCGCATGGAGTTTGTTCTGTGTCATTGTGGGTTGCGCATGCGTGTTCATCGGGTTCCTAGTGCTGCTTATTTCAATGATATCCAAGCGTCCAGCAGGAATAACAGAGCCATATTACCCTACCACGATTTACGTTGATCCAAAGAAAAACAAACTTTACACAATAAGATTAGAGGAGGAGGACGACTGAGTTTATACTACTATGATTTGAAATGAGATATATTCCATATCAAATGAGATAATACTCAATATCAGCTTTTTAGATAGGATCTCATCTTAATGAATAATCAATTATACAAGTAGCTTACAGCCTTGCAATCATTTTTGTGCAGTTATTACAAAAGATACATTTAGAAGTCCCAGATATGGGGACAAAGTTGAATTTTAAAGATATATATTCTTCAGTCAGATTAAACAAGGATGGGACCTTTCTACCGTCAGGCACACTGACCTATTTTGTTTCTAATTTTATCCTTAAAGAAACAAAACAAAGGGAACTGGAGTGATCAAAATTCCTAAATTATAATTTCTTGTGTCTCTGCTAAATCGGTCCCAGATCTACCGTTAGATATTCATAGACATGTTAAACTTAATGTACATGTAAATACCATATACGCTTGTTATTTTTTTCTCCTAGGTGTACTTGCAAATAGATTTTTTTATATGTATATATTTCCAATGATATTTTTATATGCCATTTGAACAAAAAAGCCAATGAAAAATAAAAGAAAAAAAAACAAAAACAAATATAGTTATTTGGATATTCAGCCCGAGTTAAGGGAGATAACTGTAAAATTCGTCATTACTGCTACTGCGTTAACTTATGAGGCCGTTAGAAAACCTATTATAGAACTTAGCTCTACACTGGGGATCGAGCGTGTGAAGGTTTGATGAACTATTATTGTTACTAAGAAATACACAAAGATCCGATAAATTAAATTGTCTGGAAGAAAGCTTAAACAAAAGTTAGTTATCACGTAATATTACCATATATCTGTTGGACATGTATATTGTAAAATCTGTTAATATATATAATATCAAGTATGTGGAATATATTCGAGGATGACATCAAAATTAAAGTACATGTCTTCAACAGCAGCCATGTTGGAACATAAGTCCCAGGTTGGTGCGAATTTGATCAAGTCCACTCGTTATTGCTGGAAAGCTCTATAGATATTGATGATGTATGAATACACGTCATGATTTTGAGCCAATGAAAAACCTCTCAAGTTTATTAATAACATATATTTAAGTAAAAAAGTGAAAATTCATTATAATTTACTGGTTAAAATAACGGTGGCAGTTAATTATAAGCAGGGTAATATAGCATGGAATTTTACAATTTTAAAACTGTAACATGGTAATATGTATAGAAGTTTCTAAAACCTTTAAAAGATCTTAATATTCCAGTTTGTTGTCTGAGAAAATCACACAAAAGAATGCACTCTGCAAGTGGAATAAAAACTTTTAAAATATTTCTTATCTTTGTTTAACTTTATTATAAAATATACATACTTTTATAATATCAACAATAACAATGGAATATAATAAGTTTTATAATGCAGCATATAAACATGTACATCAAAAAGATGACTTTATACATATTTCCATCTGTTTAAAAACATAGCATTGACTCATTTTCATATAAAAATATATTGCACTTTTATTTAAAATTCTAAATAGTGAAGTCTTTAAATGGCCTATACTATAAATAGAATAGACTGTGTCACGTTTCTACAGTCTGATGATCACTAAGACATTTTGGAATTGCAGAAACCAGACTATCACCATGGACATTCCATAACTTATACTCAGATGATAGAAATTCTCGAACTGAAATAAAAGAATAAGATTTCAATGAATATTTACATTGATAATAGGTCACCTTTGCAGAAGGGTGTTGTAATTCCTACTTACTAAATGCAATATGCTATTTTTTTTTTCATGGAAAGAATATATACCCCTGTAAACATTTTTAATGTACATCACAACTGAAAACAAAAATATTTTTCATACATTTTTAAAATATATAGTTATTCACAATGACTCTCTTGCAAAATTTACAGCACTTTTCCAGCTTTTTGGAGGGAGAAAAACCTCCAAACATTTCATTTCAGACATAAACAGACAGCAAGCAAGATAACATGGAAGAACCTAACATGGAATAAACAAAAGTTCCTGCAAATCAACAGCAGTTAGGGACAAGTGACTCCAGAAACATCTTGGCTCCTATCAAAACTAGTTACCAAATTTATCTAATTAACTGTATGTACATTGCTAATCATCAAAATTTTAAACACAGTTTGTACATTGTAAAGCAGATGACATTTAGCCAGAACAATGTCTTTTAAGCCTTAAACAGTATTAAAAAATATCCTATTTTGGGAGAAAATCTTAGTACAAGGGAAGTAACTGCTTTTAAACAAACATGCCATACAGCATTATTTATGTTAATATCTGTAACTGGAGTTTTCTCCCTTCGCACTAAAACCTATTGTTTATCACTTAACACTTTTATTATAATTTTATTGCAACATAACGCTCCACGGTATAAAATGAATAAATCCTTGACTTACCACAGGTCAGTTTATATTTCATTGTTGGTGACACTTGTATAGATTTGGCATCAATAAAACAACCAGACTGTGTGAAATCTACTATCTTAAAAAATAACTGAAATACAAACAACAAAATAACTTAAATATTGGTTGCAAATAACTTGTAATCAACAAGAAAAAGGAATAAAAATCCAGTAAGTTTCATTACAAAAGTTAAAATATAAAGCAGATGAATAATCAGCTCTGTTTGTTTATTTGGTTTTACGGCATACATGTACCAAAAACAGTTCAGGTCATAAATCAACTTTGCAGCATCCCTTATCATATAAAATGAGTAAACAAAATTCAATAGAAAAATATAATAATAATAAGTTTAAGTAAATTTTATGTATTACTGGGATGGCATTTTGTATGTTCTTTGCAAAACATGACAGGATGTATTTATTTATTTAGTCACCATTATCAGACACTTTCACTAACGTACTCCGTAATTAAAATTATTTTAAGTTTTTAACCAGCTAATCAGGGGGTACAAACGAACTTCTACAGTTACAACTTTGAAAATAAGTGCAACAGGTTGACTAATCTATTGTGATCAGAAGTGCACCCTAAAGCTATAGCAGTAAAAGTTTGTTTATACCAGGGGACTAACTTGGAAAAACCCACATTTGCTGAGTTCCAGATAACATCTATTCAGGAAATCTATTTATCCATATTTTGTCTTCTTAAAGGCAATTTCTGAGGACAGTTTGTGTCTCAGGCTTGGTTACATCACGTAATATGTACACATGATATTTTAGGCCTTGAAACAATATCTAAATATTCATATAAGTCAGAGCAGATCTGGCAGCACTTTGCCAACAAACAATTTTTTTTCATTGCCTTACAAACTGAAGTCCTCAGACTTAAGTTTTCATAATATAACTCAAGATTTAGTCACTTACAATGAGGCTGAATCAATATTAGATACTTTTTCTCACACTGTCATGAGAAAAGTCTGTGAATAAAAGGTTTATTTTAGAAATTTAATGTTCACATTAAGATCAAAGTTTCTTTCATATTATTAGAATTAAGTGAAGACAGATTTATATCATCACCATGAACATTTAAATACTATTAAGACCACAAAATCACAAGCACTGAGATAAAACAATGAAATCAAATACATAAAAGGCTCACCTGAGCATAAGCATTTTGACCTGTACAGAACTGTTCCTCCAGGGAACCAGTATTTTTGGTCTGACTGTTTCCCAGGAATAAACTTGCAGACATGCTAATCTCCAGTTGTTTTGCAGGGAACCGTTGTCCAATATTCCACACGACAATACTTTTGTCAGGTGACAAAAGCAAGGTACCATGGTTTAAAGAAGACTCTTGGATAGTTACTGCACCTCTGAAAACAACAAGGTTTCCTTGCATATAAAACAGGATTATCCACTGTTTACACTGGTGCTTGAAAAACCTTTCTTGCATATCAGACGGCATTATGTACTGTTTACACCGATGCTAGAAAAAACCTGTCTTACAACCCTCATGTAAGACAATCACATATTTTAAATGACATCATTCCCACAGGCCTTTAATAAATGAATTGCGTTCTTTGGATGACATTATTTTGCCGTTATGAATGAAGCTGTAATTTCTTGCGGAATCATAAAAAACTGCCAAATGAAAATATCAGTTTTTGAAATTTCTTATCAGAATATCATTAAAATTTGTAATATGCAAGAAAATGGACAAACACCCGCATTGTCACAGACGGGAATATCAAGCCCACAGGTAATGTCTTACAGAAATAGCCTCATTACCACTATAAATAGTTACCCTCAAGCTAGATATCTTGTCTGCACCAGCAGCCCATGTAAGATAACTTATAGACTTAATTGAATGCCAAGGTACATGAACATTCAGCTATTTTCATATCTCACCATGTGTATATATTGTGTCCTAAGTAAATAAACCAATTCAAAACATACAAATATCTGTGATAACAAATTCAATTAAATCTTTTAGAATTCCTAAAAACTGGTAAAATACATGTATTACAAAAACTTCACACAAATATAACCTCAGCAGATTGTGTGGCCAAGTGGCCAATGCATCAGGCTAGTAATCTAAAGATTGCTGAACACGTGGGTTAAACCCTGTCCGCGCCAAGTCATAGTTTCCTTAAACAAGAAACTTTACATTGCTTAGTACAGGTGGTTCTACGAACGGGTTCGAAAGTGCTTCATTAAGATTATAGCTTTTAACACAATTGAACTAAAATAAATTTATATAAACTCATCAGCTGAAGTCCTGGATCAAACTAATGTCATAATAAATGTCATTCCAGAGACATGGATGACATGTTCACTACATCTCTGATTATTAAAACAACAACAACAGACTCTGATACCGTATAAGTACTTTTTTCTGCGGGAACTTTATTTCTGCTATTTCTGCGGTTTATAACGACACCGCAGATTTAAAAACCGCAGAAAATTAAGCCTTTCGCTATGTCTACATGTATGTCGGAATATGTCAACTACCTGTATTGTATAATTACATTACCATGTACCGTTATCAGCTTTTGTAGATGGGAATAATTTTTCTTTATGTATCCGTCATGAATAAAATATTAGAAAAAAAGTTACTTTACTTGTTCTTTTTGTTTAAAAAATATCATGTTTGTATGATTTTCGCTCACCCTAAGCTTGATTTATTTTAAAAATAAAACTATTATAGTTTGACGGGTGCAATAAACATACCCTTTTGTATTTGTACAATATATTGTGTCTACGTGCCATATAACCTTTGTTTATTTTTCACACTTCATATTTATACACATGCAGTATTACAGTTAATTGCTGTCATTGCACGTTGTTAATTTTTTTATTAACGTTTTGTTTATTGCGTTCATTGAACGCCGCCCTTTTTGTTGATCTTGTTTATCATATTTTATATACCGATACATGGTGATCACGATGAACACACATTATAAGTCGTCTGCATGTTTACCGGAAGTAATGTACATGTTACATCAACATATCTTGAAATGTTGTCTGTTTGTATCTGTTAATTTTGTAAAAATATCTAAATTAAAACTCAGAAATAAAAAACATCAATGCGAGAATGATGACACCGCAGAAATAAGATACGCAGAAATTTAAAACCCTTATTTTAACCAAAATCGCAGAATTTTAAGCCCGCAGAAATAAGTACTTATACGGTACCTTTTACCAAATGGAATCTGAAGTTCACAGTATTCAAACGAGTTCTTAATATTTTCAGACAATCTCAGATGAACTTTGATCTTTACCCTGTCTTCATCTGCCTGTTTGAAGAATAAAATAATACAAGATACATTCTTAACAATTTAAACTACATGTCAACTAAATTTTGTCCTTAGAAATCAATAATCTCTTCAATAATTTACCAAATAAAATTTGATACTTTTTTTAAGTGTATTTCTTAAATATAATGTTAAAACTCGACCTGCTGGAAACAAGAGTATTAAACCTCTACCACCAGTATAGGGTCAACCCAGCTTGAACATCCCTGCAGTCTGACCAGGCTCTAAACTGTTGGTAGCTCAATTCTTGTTTTACAAATGTGTTATATTGAAATCCCTTCATTTCCAAATGGACTGTTCCAAATTCAAATCTGGGCAAATCCATTTTACACATTCAGCAGGACCAGGTTTAAGATACACATGTATGATATTCAGGCAAGAGAAAACAAGATATATAATTGTGAAAAGGTGAGAAAAACAAGAGGGCCATGATGGCCCTGAGGTCGCTCACCTGTATATAGCCCCCCCCCCCCGGCCAATTTTTACCCAAGGGCTTTTATTTGTTTATTTGAACAGACTTGGTAGACACCCATAAGAAGATGTTTCATGCTAAACATCTAAGTTCTAGCTCATTGGGTTTTTTAAAAGAAGATTTTTTAAGTTTTTACTATACACATATAGTTAAAAACAATGACACCCCTGGGGCAGGGCCAGTTTTGACCCCCGGGCTTTTATTTGAACAAACTTTGTAGATATTTACTTAAAGATGTTTAATGCTTAATGTCTAAACTCTAGCTATTTGGGTTTTTTCAAAGAAGATTTTTTAAGTTTTTACTATATGCATATAGGGAAAATCAATGACCCCCGGGGCGGGGCCTATTTTGACCCAAGGGATTCTATTTGAACAAACTTGGTAGACACCCATAAGAAGATGTTTCATGCTAAATATCTTAGATTTTTTAAGTTTTTACTATACACATATAGTTAAAAACAATGACACCCCTGGGGCAGGGCCAGTTTTGACCCCAGGGCTTTTATTTGAACAAACTTTGTAGATATTTACTTAAAGATGTTTCATGCTTAATATCTAAACTCTAGCTATTTGGGTTTTTTCAAAGAAGATTTTTTAAGTTTTTACTATACACATATATCAATGACCCCCGGGGCGGGGCCAGTTTTGAACCCAGGGCTTTTATTTGAACATACTTGGTAGACACCCATAAGAAGATGTTTCATGCTAAATATCTTAGCTCTAGCTCTTTGGGTTCTTTAAAAGAAGATTTTTTAAGTTTTTACTATATGCATATAGGGAAAATCAATGACCCCCTGGGGCGGGGCCAATTTTGACCCCAGGGCTTTTATTTGAACAAACTTGGTAGACATTCACTAGAAGATGTTTCATGCCAAATATCTAAGCTCTAGCTCTTACAGTTCTTTAAAAGAAGATTTTTTAAGTTTTTACTATATGCATATAGGGTAAATCAATGACCCCCCGTGACGGGGCCAATTTTGACCCCAGGGCTTTTATTTGAACAAACTTGGTAGACACTCACTAGAAGATGTTTCATGCCAAATATCTTAGCTCTAGCTCTTTGGGTTCTTTAAAAGAAGATTTTTTAAGTTTTTACTATATGCATATAGGGAAAATCTATGACCCCCTGGGGCAGGGCCAATTTTGACCCCAGGGCTTTTTTTTGAACAAACTTGGTAGACACTCATTAGAAGATGTTTCATGCCAAATATCTAAGCTCTAGCTCTTAGGGTTATTTAAAAGAAGATATTTAAAGATTTTTCTTTCGGTTGCCATGGCAACCAGAGTTCTGCATGGAATTAAATTCTTTGAACAATTTTTAAAGGTGACCACCAAAGGAACATGCCTGTGAAGTTTGGATGAAATTGGCTCAGTGGTTTATGAGGAAATGTCATTTAAAGCAAAAGTTTACGGACGGACGCCGGACGGACGACGGACGCCGGACGGACGCCGGACGAAAAGCGATCACAAAAGCTCACCCTGTCACTTTGTGACAGGTGAGCTAAAAATATAGTGAAAATGTGAATAGAAGTGATACTTGTTTCATAAAAAGTTTCAATTCTAAAAAATATCATAAAATGTTGTTAAAAATAGATTGACCAAATATGTAGACAGCCCACTTACAAATAGGTCAAAGCTGCCAGTGATAGGTGGCTGTCTTGTAGGGTTGACTCTATAATGACATAATGTTATCATCTCTAGAGGTGGGGTAAATCTAACTCTCCTTGGTATAGCTCGGTCTTTACCTAAAATATAGCAAGTGTAATCATACAAAAATTCAAAATCAAATATATTTTGGAATTTAAGCAAATACACATCTTGTTATATTATACTCAGCAAAACTTTCAAATATTGTAAAGGTTCATAAATGATATGTCAGAATGGGAATAACTATTTAAGACCTTAACTTAATATACTTAGCAGTTAAATGGTTTGCAAAGATGCATATGCATTAAAAAAATAAAAGTTTTTAGCCATATAGCACTGGTTAAAGTCTGAAATCATTACAATTCAGGTTGTTGTTTTGCTGCAAATCCAGATTACCTGAAGGTAACAAATGTAAACTGGACACATACATGACAGGATAAGTCCAATTTAGAATAAAGCATAAGTTACAGTGGGCTACTTTATTTACTAAGTACAAGTATGATACAAGTTACAAGCATGCATACAACTAAGCTGTATAGAACAGATCTTGGCTTATACAGAGAGAATTTCCCAAATGAAAATCAGGCAAAAAACATACAGATTTAAAATTTGGTTTTCAGTCAGATATCTGCAATATCATTATTATTGTGTGTATTTGATTTTATTTATACTCGCCACCTGTTGGCAAGTCCTATTAGTCATTTTATTTTTTAGAGGATAGTGCAAGATACAGATACAGAAAGATGCCCCAATTCCAGAAGCTTCCTCTGGTTCTTTGACATGCCAAGTGTTTAAACACTCATACACGGGACCTAGATTTAAAGTATCATCCGAAAGACTGATAATTAATTTTAGTTGGCAAGCCCGGGAATCAAACCCACAATGTCGAGATTAGTCTAGCGCTTTAATCGACTGGCTTTAAATGTACTAACCTTCTTCCAATATATAAGCATCGGCACTCTGAACACATGGATGAATAATCAGATTATTGAGTGGAGTGACCTCCCCATCTGTTGGTTGTGATATTGTCATGGTTACGGTTGGCATGGTACCCTCTAACTCCGCCTTACATGATACAGTACCATAAACATCCCATACATCTTCTATATTGTCTCTGTCATACTGTAATATTATAGTAACATAAAATTATAATATCACTATGCAAGTTTTTGAGAGCAGAGAATAAGTCTAGTAAAATGTCTAATTAAATTACTTACAGTTTTTAAGAGTAACTTTTGACCAAAATTAGATCAATGTGTAAGGACTTTTTATCAGTGCACACGTGTACTCTTGCAGTTCCAACCAAAACAAAACAACCATTATTCTTCAAAAAATTCCCACACATGGGTTTCAAATGATGAGAATGTAAAACACAACATAAAACAGGAGGGTCAACATATCTTGAAAATTGCTAATCTTAGAATTGCCATTCAACAAGGTAGAAGTAGAAGTACCTCTAGACACTTGCAGAAAGCATGATCACAAATTTAGTAGAAAAATATTGCTGTTTTGTTTATTTTTTTTACATTTGTCATTCATTATTGTATATAAATTAGTGTGAAAAGATGAATTAGATATCTTAAAGTGCATTTTGGCGGGTGAAAAGGCAAGTTATTAGCATTTAATCATTCAAGTGCCTTATCCGGTATATATCTGAATACAGTATTTAGTGTGGTACTCCAACACTTATTTTAGTTTCACACAAAATTATATAGATTAAGGTAAAATCATAATGATAGACGAGAAGTTTGAATGAGAGAAAAATAAACTCGAATAAGTATTGAACTTAAAATACCTGAACTGCCCTGACAAATTCTGTAATAGCCAAGTTCATTTGGTTCTTGCCTTTATGTAACACAGGCTTCCAGGCTGGTTGCTAAATAGAAAAAATTTAATACAATTCATACAAAGGTGCCTACTGCTTGTAATTTCTTTTACAATTTTGTACTTAATCTTGTTGTGATTGATTAAAATGTCTGAAATGTTATACAATTTGGAATTCAAACATTTTAAAAAGTTTATGACAAGTTAATATGGAATAATTTATCATTTAAGTTTCAAGGGGGTAAACTCCTCTTATTTACATTTCCTGAAACATCTTAATTCATTAATTTACATCTTCATGTATAATCAAGCAAAATTTCTTACAGTTGAACTAACATTTCTGAAATGAAAGTGACTCTTTGCATCTTTTCATCTATGTTTTAAGTTTTGCAAGTTCTGGTTAAAGTCACACTGACACTCTAAAAATCATGTGGCCACTTTCCAGCATTACTGGTGGAGGGAGACCTAAAGTACCCCCCCCCCCCCCCAATAGCACCCACCTAATATCAGACTATATAGAAGACAATCATGCTTTTAAATATACATCAGTTCCTGTAAGTATAAGTGGAAACAAAGATTTGTAAATCGACCAATTCTTTTACAAAAGTGATGTACAATGTAATCATAAATGTATATAAATTAGGGATGGCAACGAATACAAAAATCAATACTCGAGTACTCGGTCATTTTTCCTATCGAGTACTCGGATGATTTCCAATGATCTCACAGTATCAACACCGTCTGCATGCTACTTTCGTTTTCTATTTAAATTAATAGAATTCGTAACTATAAATAGGACTGCACGGGAGACAAATTAATTAAAATTAATTCAACAACATCATATTTTACAACGTTTTAATTAATGCAATAGCAAGTTTAAAACGAGTATGACAGTTCATATATCTTTTTTCGTCTTGAAATAATATAGACTGATCGACGGCAACTAAAGTTTAAAAGGGGTCTAAATACTAGTTCCCCTTATTGTTACATTCATAATAGCAATCGACCCTTTGTTGTTTTCAAAATAGTTACTTCCACTACAAACTGTTACTGAATATCATAAGAGCTGATAACATAAGCGACACATGTGCGCGTGTCAACCGTTGATCGCCTATCATTTTCGCACCTCTACAAGGATGTTTTGATTAAATTTGACAGGTATTTAATGAAGATAATGCATATCTACCAATCTTTCTAAATGGTAAAAAAATATAAATTATATATTTTTCCCGAGTAATCGAATATCAATTTTGTTAACCGATATTCGGACGTTCGATCGAGTACTCGGTTAACCGGTTACTCGTTGCCATCCCTAATATAAATTAACCTACATGTTACAAATTACACATTAATAATTAATACCTTCTGAGTTTTAGGTGTTGCACTTATTTTATTTGCCATCTTGGCGAGCACAGAGTCGACAGTGGTATCAAGTACAGTACCAAATGGTGCAGCTTGTGTCAGGAATGCATATATATCACTTATCTTTTGATCAAACTGAAAAATAAATCCAAATATTGCATTAAACAATATTTGCTGTTTATTTTAGAATGCCTATATTTTGTTATTGTATATAAATACACTCAAGGGAAGTAACTTGAACTGTTTACAAGAATATTCAAGGGAAGTTACTTGTACTGGCATAATTCAATATCAAGGGAGGTAATTTTGAACTTCGACCTTGTATCTCAAACTCCTCACACTGATTACCTCCCTTGGCAGAATTGTAATCACTGCCTTCACAGACGTCACATGATGATGAAAGTCACATGACGTAACGTCGAAATTCAAATGTAAATATCGACCGTTACATAGAAAAATCTAACGTCATTTTTCTCTTTCTGTTTTATTTTTAACTTTTTGTACCTACGTCCGTTATATTTTAACAAAAAATTATCAAAAGTACACAAAATAATGAAAAATAAATTAAAAAGCTAAAAAATATAAATATCCAAATTTGGATATTTCAATGTTTGTGATGGCAGAGATCTCTGTACTGATAAGGGGAGATCACTGCGTAGGAGATTGCTTGTATCTGTCTGGCATTATTACCCAAGATGCAATTCCCTATCAGCTTCCTTTTCCTGCAAACTCTCAAGAGAACAGCAACACATTGTAATCATAATAAAAAGAATCTTAATTCATCTTTGTACTAATAATGCCTGGAAGAGGTAAAGGGAGAAAAAGGAAAATACAAGCTGTAGATCTAAATGAGAATCCTCAAGAACAGGAAAGAGAGATTCCAGTGGAACCAGTAT